GTCGCATACATTCGTGTTCAGTGCAAGTAAGGCTTTGGAGATATCACTGGTGCAAAATGACCAATCAACAATCCTCCTGGAACTCCGGCCACGATGAGGTACCATACCAACAAGGAGTGCAGCACTGAGTTGAAAATAAGTGGCGAGCCATGGGCGGCTTGCTTTTGAGGTGGTACTCGGACTGGTCACTCGGGGCGCGCTGGCTATTCTTCTTTTTTCATCGCATTTGCTGTTCTAATCGTTTTTCTACTATTTCAGGATGGATCAAATCAGCTACAAACGTTTTATCAGGAATGCATTCACCAATAAAACATAGTAAGTTCGTTTGTTATGTACCACGAAAGTGTTGGTCAAGTTGCTTGCGCATCGGTCAGTAACATTCTTCAACCATACCTCCTTTCCCTCCTTTTCGTACCTCACTGGTTCTCGTTTTGTACGCCTTTTTATGCATTTTGTGCTGTGTAACAGCAGTACAAAACGCATATTGTCACGGGGTTGTCTGTGTGTGTGTTTGTGTGTGTGTCCCACATTTTGTCCCGCACTTTCAACTCGGCAAATTTAAATTCAGCCTTCCCTTACCCGCGGGTAACACGTACCGCCCCGTGAAAGTTTTTCACGGGTAAGTTAATATCTCGGGAACCACAGAGTCTTGGAGGCTGAAATTTTAGGGTAATGACCCACTGCCCACGCCCAACCTTGCCCATAAAAATTCAGCGTTCCCGCGTTCTTGAGTATCACCTGCGGCCTCGTGAAAATTTTGGCGGGCAAACTATTAACTTGGGAATCACGGAAAGGTTTTCACCCTTCATGGTTTCGAATTCAGCTTTCATGCGCTGGTGCGTGAAATTTTTAACTATTTTCCACTGTCTGAGCTATTTTTGCATAGACAAAAGTGCAAAGCAGTGAAAATCATTAATAGGCAATCGTTCGATGGGCTGAATTGCACGAAACGCATCATCGCACCGGCTGGTCTGGTGCGCGTTACTATTCATTTAGTTTTTGCCCCTGTTCCTCGCATCTCTTGACCGATGGGGTACCCCTCATTTTGCTCCAAATCTTCGGGGCCAAGTGATGTGCTGAACCCGCATACATCTCCCCTTCACTTTTTCACTTCGTTCTCCTTCTCTTGTTTTTCCTTCTCTTCATTTTCTACCTTACCTTTAAATACACACAAAGGATATCACAAAACGACAAAAATTTCACAAATACTTGACTTGACAATCTATTCGGAAGACGCAGCGAATGTCAAAATCGCCAGCAGGACATGTCTGCATGCATGGAATTTCACATCCAAACTGAATTAAGACCTCATTTGAATACAGAATAGCCTTGCAAACCATGAAATACGGCTAACCAAAATATTCAAGTAAGTACTATGTGTTTCACTCAATTCTGAACGTGTTCAGGGAATTTTGATATCAAAAGTTTTCCTGTGACGAGTGAGGTAGAAGGCGAGGGAACTTGTTCCTCAACCAAAAAGGGAAGCTTTCTTTATTTTGCTGTACTTCGGGAAGACATTGGCCCGGAAATACGCGTATCAAATCACTTCTAATATACTTCCAAAAGAGTAGTCAGACGTTTTTTTCAGCTTGCCGACGTATTTAGCATTCGGAACAGGAGCGGTGATTGCGCTGATCTATATGAGTGATTGGGAAACGGTCGGTCGTCATATACCTCTCTGGAAGTATCATTTTCCACCGGCTGAAACCAGTGAAACTGATAAACGCTCCAACGAGACCGCTACACCAACATAATTGCGATCTGCATAAGTAGATTTATCCGTTGTATAATAGGATAATTGTATTTGGTATTTTTCTATGTAGCGTTTTGATCCGAGTGAAAAGAGAGAATGTAAGTTAAGTTAAAAATGAGGCTAGGGTTGAATCCAAATGAGGTCCGGGGTGTATAGGATCGATGCCAAGAATACCAAGACCAACCAGCTGAATTTTGGGGAAAGCAACGTAATCGTCAGAGGACTGGACGAATTGAAGAGTGAAGACGAAAGGGAGGGAAACAAGATCGAGAATACGCAAAAAAATCCATAATTCCCAATCAAAGTGTACGGCAAAGCTGTTCTCGGGAGGAAGGGAGCGGGGGGAGGGGAAAAGGAATTCAGAAGTTTTTTGCCCAGTATTTTTTTTCCGGGAAATAATTGCTACAAATGTCTACCAGCAGAATTAGAATGAAAAATAATAGTTATTAAAACAAGAAGTCCACGCGATAAAATGATGAATGCAGAATAATCATTCTTTTTAATCATTCTTCGTCTTACGCGTATGAAGAAGCTCCGGACGAAGAAGTTTGGATATCTCTATTTTTTGAAGAAAATAGAAAGGATGTTTTTGACTCATACTTTGATTAGAACAAAAAAACCTTGCCTTCGTCCACCTCCCACTCCGCTCATGGCCCTCCCTCGCCATTTTCTCCTCCATTCTGCCACACGGTCTTTTAAAATATACTTTTTTCAAGCTCCAACATTTATGATAAGCACTGCTGATTTTCATGTTTTCACGCTGCAACAGCGTGATCTTCTGTGTTTGAACAATCAGAAACACACGAAACCCCATAATTTAGCACTTACTATTTTCCT